GTGTATGCTCCAAAGACTGTGATAGTTGAGGCATCTTAGCGCATTCTCCAAAGACTGTGTTAGTTGTGGCATCTTAGCGCATTCTCCAAAGACTGTGTTAGTTGTGGCATCTTAGCGTATGCTCGAAAAACTGTGTTAGTTGAGGCATCTTAGCGTATGCTCCAAAGACTGTGTTAGTTGTGGCATCTTAGTGTATGCTCCAAAGAGTGTAAAGGTTGAGGAATCTTAGTGTATGCTCCAAAGACTGCGTTAGTTGTGGCATCTTAGAGCATGCTCCAAAGACTGTGATAGTTGATGCATCTTAGTGTATGCTCCAAAGAGTGTAAAGGTTGAGGAATCTTAGTGTATGCTCCAAAGACTGCGTTAGTTGTGGCATCTTAGAGCATGCTCCAAAGACTGTGATAGTTGGGGCATCTTAGTGTACGCTCCAAAGTCTGTGATTGTTGAGGCATCTTAGTGTATGCTCCAAAGACTGTGATAGTTGAAGCAACTTAGTGTATGCTCCAAAGACTGTGATAGTTGAGGCATCTTAGTGTATGCTCCAAAGACTGTGATAGTTGAAGCAACTTAGTGTATGCTCCAAAGACTGTGATAGTTGAAGCAACTTAGTGTATGCTCCAAAGACTGTGATAGTTGTGGCATCTTAGCGTATGCTCCAAAGACTGTGATTGTTGAGGCATCTTAGTGTATGCTCCAAAGACTGTGATAGTTGAAGCAACTTAGTGTATGCTCCAAAGACTGTGATAGTTGAGGCATCTTAGTGTATGCTCCAAAGACTGTGATAGTTGAAGCAACTTAGTGTATGCTCCAAAGACTGTGATTGTTGAGGCATCTTAGTGTATGCTCCAAAGACTGTGATTGTTGAGGCATCTTAGTGTATGCTCCAAAGACTGTGATAGTTGTGGCATCTTAGTGTATGCTCCAAAGACTGTGATAGTTGAAGCAACTTAGTGTATGCTCCAAAGACTGTGATAGTTGAAGCAACTTAGTGTATGCTCCAAAGACTGTGATAGTTGTGGCATCTTAGAGCATTCTCCAAAGACTATGTTAATTGTGGCATCTTAGAGCATGCTCCAAAGACTGTGATAGTTGGGGCATCTTAGCGCATTCTCCAAAGACTATGTTAATTGTGGCATCTTAGAGCATGCTCCAAAGACTGTGATAGTTGGGGCATCTTAGTGTACGCTCCAAAGTCTGTGATTGTTGAGGCATCTTAGTGTATGCTCCAAAGACTGTGATAGTTGAAGCAACTTAGTGTATGCTCCAAAGACTGTGATAGTTGTGGCATCTTAGCGTATGCTCCAAAGACTGTGATTGTTGAGGCATCTTAGTGTATGCTCCAAAGACTGTGATAGTTGAAGCAACTTAGTGTATGCTCCAAAGACTGTGATAGTTGAAGCAACTTAGTGTATGCTCCAAAGACTGTGATAGTTGAAGCAACTTAGTGTATGCTCCAAAGACTGTGATAGTTGAAGCAACTTAGTGTATGCTCCAAAGACTGTGATAGTTGAAGCAACTTAGTGTATGCTCCAAAGACTGTGATAGTTGAAGCAACTTAGTGTATGCTCCAAAGACTGTGATAGTTGAAGCAACTTAGTGTATGCTCCAAAGACTGTGATAGTTGAAGCAACTTAGTGTATGCTCCAAAGACTGTGATAGTTGAAGCAACTTAGTGTATGCTCCAAAGACTGTGATAGTTGAAGCAACTTAGTGTATGCTCCAAAGACTGTGATAGTTGAAGCAACTTAGTGTATGCTCCAAAGACTGTGATAGTTGAAGCAACTTAGTGTATGCTCCAAAGACTGTGATAGTTGAAGCAACTTAGTGTATGCTCCAAAGACTGTGATAGTTGAAGCAACTTAGTGTATGCTCCAAAGACTGTGATAGTTGAAGCAACTTAGTGTATGCTCCAAAGACTGTGATAGTTGAAGCAACTTAGTGTATGCTCCAAAGACTGTGATAGTTGAAGCAACTTAGTGTATGCTCCAAAGACTGTGATAGTTGAAGCAACTTAGTGTATGCTCCAAAGACTGTGATAGTTGAAGCAACTTAGTGTATGCTCCAAAGACTGTGATAGTTGTGGCATCTTAGAGCATTCTCCAAAGACTATGTTAATTGTGGCATCTTAGAGCATGCTCCAAAGACTGTGATAGTTGGGGCATCTTAGCGCATTCTCCAAAGACTATGTTAATTGTGGCATCTTAGAGCATGCTCCAAAGACTGTGATAGTTGGGGCATCTTAGTGTATGCTCCAAAGTCTGTGATTGTTGAGGCATCTTAGTGTATGCTCCAAAGACTGTGATAGTTGAAGCAACTTAGTGTATGCTCCAAAGACTGTGATAGTTGAAGCAACTTAGTGTATGCTCCAAAGACTGTGATAGTTGAAGCAACTTAGTGTATGCTCCAAAGTCTGTGATAGTTGAAGCAACTTAGTGTATGCTCCAAAGACTGTGATAGTTGAAGCAACTTAGTGTATGCTCCAAAGTCTGTGATAGTTGAAGCAACTTAGTGTATGCTCCAAAGACTGTGATAGTTGAAGCAACTTAGTGTATGCTCCAAAGACTGTGATAGTTGAAGCAACTTAGTGTATGCTCCAAAGTCTGTGATTGTTGAGGCATCTTAGTGTATGCTCCAAAGACTGTGATAGTTGAAGCAACTTAGTGTATGCTCCAAAGACTGTGATAGTTGAAGCAACTTAGTGTATGCTCCAAAGACTGTGATAGTTGAAGCAACTTAGTGTATGCTCCAAAGTCTGTGATAGTTGAAGCAACTTAGTGTATGCTCCAAAGTCTGTGATTGTTGTGGCATCTTAGCGTATGCTCCAAAGACTGTGATGTTGGGGAATGTTTGCGCACGCATTTGAATTTAATGAAGACGAAACTTACATGTGTAGGTTTGTTTGTGTTCTCTTGTGTTTTTGTGTGTGAATTTTTTGTTTGTTTGTTGTTTTGAAACTATTTGCCGGCAGACTTTCTTGCATAATGTATTATATTAAAAAATGTTGTTGTTGTGTTTTGACGTGTTATTTATTTTCTATTTTCAAGTATAATCATTTGTTATCTTTAAATTAACAACAATTTCTTATATACATTTAGCTTCTTGTGTGTCTTTCTTCCTTTTTGAAACCCCTCTCCTCCCTGTTACGCACTGGCTTCTATTGTGAGAATTTATTATCCTATTTTAAATTGATGGCTCGTTCAAGACAGTGCATAACAAAAGGACAGCACGATAGAGAAATACATTAACAAAAATACGACACCTAAAACAGTACCAATTACAATTAATAAAATTTAATTTAGTAATCATACAATTATAAAATAAAATAAATATAATTACAAATCATCAACTTACAGTATGGCATATCTTGTACCGGTACACAGTTAACACAGTTAGTACAATGTGCCAATGAATAATGATGCATGATCAATGCGAATAAACAGATATAACCACACAAAGAATAATACACGTCTCGTGAAGTTAAAAATATATATCTGAATCTCCCTCTAGCGTGTCTGTCACTCTTTTAGATACAAGTAGCGGAAGACGCTTCCAGAAAAGAATTATTACATGTTGTTTACATTTCTCGGGTTATCAAGATGATTCGACAAGATACCAGGAGACATACTAACCATGTTGAATTGGTAAACACGGCAGATCAAAAGAACTAGCCCAGCCCACAACAAACCTTACCGTGTGCTAGGGGATCTAATGTGGGGTGAAACAAAGTTCAAGCACGGGAAAAAAGTGTACTGCATAACACTCCCAAATGCACAAGTTTGTTTGTTTTTTTTGGTTTTTTTAAAGTAACTAGTGGTACAATTTATGATTATTTTTTTTTACATTTTTTGTTGAAATTATCAATTCTTTTTCATTGTTGAGTCAGCTAAAATCAATGCCCAAAAACCAGCGGTAACTAAGGGGGTAATCTCTGAACCATATACAAATTGTAAGAAATGTGAAAGACCTTCAACACGTCTAGTTTGCTCATTATCCACTACAGTGGTTCTCAAAACGTGATACAAAATATCCTACATTAAGCTCTTAATGTGGTGATAAGTCAGAGGATATTTTTGGGTTAATAAATACATAAAAAGATTTCAGTCATAAAAACTAGATATGCCCTAAGGATACAGGAATAGAGCAATTAAGATAAGTGACGTCATAAATTTTACGATTCCTTTGGTTCAAGTAATCCTATAGGGAAGGCCGACTGTGAAAGTGCCAAAAGTTTGTTCTAAGGGAATTAAGCGATGAATTGTTTGTTTCTGGAGTAAAAACGGGGTATTTTTTCTTAATAGAAAAGTAGTATAAATATAATGTGATCATAATCTGATCATTGTATCTTATGGCAATTTTTTTTTTTTTTAATCATGATGAAAAAGAAAAGGATTATTTAAATATCCACTTTATTAATTTTTTTTTTAAGCTGAAGACCCTGATTAAGACCCGCGGAGGTCAATCGGAAGTCAAAATTGTTGGTTCCTCGTCTGATGTTGTGGGAAGGGGTAAATAAATTTATTAGGCAAGCAAAGTTTAATTACTCAAATGTCATAATATTACTTTTTTTGTGGGGGCGGGAGGTTGGTGGTGGCGGGGGGGGGGGTCGTGTTTTCTAGACAGTTTTATGACAATGTATTAGGTATGCCAAAATCTAGCAAAATTCCCTTTATGAATGGCCCCTAAATAAAAATTTTACTCATAGGGTGAAGAAGAATGTGTAAGGCATTGTCGTAAAATTTTAGCTACATGATATAATCGGTTTACGACCATGCCAATGGTTCTAAATCAAGCAAAAGTGCCTTGGGATGAATACTATTAGTCCCGCCCCTACGAAACAAGACAACTCTTAAACTCGTAATTTCGGTGTGGTTCGTCTGAGTAAAGTAAAGTATGAAGGGGGGAGGCACTCTGCAATTTTTTTGAATAAAATAAACTGAGTATTCTCCCTTCGTCTCTGGATTCACGGAAACGCTGTACAGTGCTACTTGCCACACTCCCCCCGACTGGGTTCGTGACATGACGGATCGTGTTCGAGGAGCGGATTGTGTCCGACACATTTTAGGAGCACACGTGTTACTCCAGTGTAGATGCGCTGCACACTTGATATGAGTCGTGATATTCTTTGAGGAACAAAGACTTAATGGATTTTTTTTCCAGACGTACTTGAGGTAATGATTTGTTTTTCTTTTCTTTTAGACCACCTGGGTTACGCTTGTTCCATTTACAAACAGTGCGACTGTAACAATGTGCATGGTTGTGGGGTTAGTGTTCAAGTGTGAGGAATACAGATGATACAATTTTTTTCAAAAGATAACGTTACTTTTTAATCAAACAGGGAAGTGCCAACCACACAAATATGAACAAAGTAGTTCTGTGCCAACCACACGAATATGAACAAAGTAGTTCTGTGCCAACCACACAAATATGAACAAAGTAGTTCTGTGCCAACCACATGAATATGAACAAAGTAGTTATGTGCCAACCACGCGAATATGAACAAAGTAGTTCTGTGTCAACCACACGAATATGAACAAAGTAGTTCTGTGCCGACCACGCGAATATGAACAAAGAAGTTATGTGCAAACCAGAAGAATATGAACAAAGTAGTTCTGTGCTAACCATAGGAATATGAAAAAAAGTAATTATGTGCCAACGATAGAAATATAAACAAAGCAGTTCTCTGCCAACTATAGGAATATGAACAAACTAGTTCTGTGCAAACCATAGGAATATGAACAAAGTAGTTCTGTTTATTTTAGTAAAACTACTGACCTTTCAGCTGCTTGTATTCATCATGTAATATATTTTGTTAATGCTCTGAGAAATATATGACAAAAAAAGTGAACGATTTTAAAAAATGTTTCATAAATTTTAATTACCGAGAAAATCGATAAATTCCTTGAGATACCGATTCACGAAACGTGCTGAACGGGGTTAGGGGGGGTGGGGGTTCTCAACAACCTCGGGAGCTAGCACTCCCTAGGGGTGCCTGACGGCAGTAAGGGTTTGAAAAAAAAGTACCTTCAGAGCAGAGCAGCCATTGACTTTTAAGGCACGATATACATGTTTATTTATTTTGAATCTTCATTTGTATTATAATGATTCGCTTTTTTGTTTATGATCTATAGTTATCCTTGCACTACAGACAACAGAAAGAGGTCTAAGACACTGGGCTGGGTTATTTTAATAGTATACAGTATAGGATTGCGTCCAAGCCTCGTGAAATAAGCGTGAAGAAGGGAGATTGTTGCCGTTTGAATGTTCGGCTATTCAGAGTCCGAGCCAATCTTCTTCAACACTCCTAAGGACAAGTTCAGCACTTGTGACATTTTGTATGGATGTTGTGGAAATGTTTATGGTTAGCGTTAAACTCCTACTTGTTTCATTACTTTTTAACACGAATGTTTATTTTGTCCGCTCTTAACATGTTCGGATGTTTGATAAAAAAAAAAAAAATGTTGTGCTACATTATTTCGACCCGTCATCGGGTCTCAGCATCGCTGTAAGTCTGTGCCAACCAGTCTCTTGAATCTGTAGAGATGCTAAACTCTGTTGGCGTACACACACACCATTCTCTGGATCTGATACCATTTATGTTTATTGATAAAAACAAAACGTGTTTTAATCACATTGTACTTATTCACTCTCAGCAAATGGAAAAAAAATGTATGATCAAGATAAGAAGTTTTTGATCTAGTTAAAATTAAATGTATGTCATTTTAATGTATTGTCTCGAACTTGAAAAAAAATATCAATGATGTGCCTTAAACCACACTTCCTCAAACACGACATTGACTTCAAGAGTCTTTTTGTGTATCTACATCGGCCATCTCTTTCACTCTGACTGTGTTGCTGTATTTTTTGCTCTATTTCTGTTTTTCTTTCTCTCCCTCTTTTTCTCTCTTTCTCTTTTTCTACGGGTTTCAACTCTCTCTCTCTCTTTCGTTTTCTCTCTATTTTTTTACGATTCGTTCTCACTCCTTCTCTCTATATATCTTTCTCTCTCTCTCTCTCTCTCTCACTATCTCTCTCTTTATCTCCCGTTAATCACAATAGCTTCCACTCTCTCAAAGATTGTATCGTTGATCCTTGAAATGACTTATCCAACAATATGTGTGGTTGACATACTGAGGCAAATAGAGAAACAGCGAATACTTTGCAGTGCGTTATCTAATGTCACGTCACCTAAATTGGATAGGGCAAAGTACTCGTAATGTGAATGGCGAAGTTTCGATTCTTATGCATTATCTTTCATTGTAAGCCAGTGCCCCATTTTCAGATAAAGGACGGCCATTTAGAACCATTTACAAAATGGTTAGTGGCGCACCTTGACTAAATGCCACCGGGGGACGGGGGGACCCTCCTATCTGCCCACAACCAACACACGTCAATTATACTTTATAATACAGGTAAATCCAAAAGCCTGGCCGGGGGCTGTCGTCCCCATTGCCGCTGCCCTTAGTTACACCATTGCTTAAAATGACGTTGTTAAACTTTAAGAATAATATTCAGCCACTTACGTTTGTTGTTTAGACTGGCGTGAATTATAAAAGCACACAAGTGAAGAAATATGAACCTGGAAATGCCGATCAATTCATCAGTGGATATAGCGGGAGGTGGGGAAAAAATGGGCGGAGATGTGGTGTTTATCTCTGTTTAACAATCATCCTTTTTTTTTTTTCTATGTCTTATCATCGACAGAAAGGGAGAATGAAGAGATCGAAACACTGGAACACCTCGCTCATGGTTACCCTGATGGTCACACTGGTCGCCTACCCATGTCTGGGCGTAGCAGGAGACAATCAAGAGTCCAGCCTAACACGCAGTGCTTCCGGAGCCATCGTGCTACCTGACATTTCTGTCTCTGGTGACACAACAACTCCACCCAACACGGAAGTTAAACCCGACCCCAAAGCTTCGGACCCGGCAACACATCCGGCTGTCGGCCTGTCAAGCGTGAACAGCTCCGTTGACGTGCTGATGGCCGACTTGGACTCTAAAAGGAACCTGACCCGTTTCCTCTCCCAGCCGGTCGTCAACGATCACAATTTTGAATTCATCCGCAACCCGATCGACGCATGCGCGGGGAGCGCACCGCCGGAGGTGCTCTTCGTGATCCCCTCTGCTCCGGGAAACTCGGAGAAGCGGGACCGCGTCAGGAAGGGGGCCCTCGGCGCGTACGCCAGGGAGCCTTCCAACAACGCCACGGTCTTGTTCTTCACGGGCACCCCGGACTGCTCCGAGGACTGGGCGCTCCAGCAGGCCCACATCGACGACGAGTTCCACCTCCACGGGGACATCGTCCAGGAGAACTTCCCCGACGTCTACAGGAACATCCGCCTCAAGGCCGTGTCCATGCTGAGGTGGGCGGTGACGTATTGCAAGCACGCGAAATACGTCATCCGCACGGACGACGACGTCGTGGTGAACGTGAAACAGATCGTCTCCGTCGTGCGTCAGAAACATCGGGACCACCTCGAGTTCGTCATCGGGGTCGTGAAAGACGACTGGAAACCGGCGAGGAATAAAGGCAAGTACCACATGTCCGTGGAGGAGTACCCAGACCCGTTGTATCCACCTTTCGCGCTCGGCGGATTGCTTGGGTACCCGCTGACGTCGGTGGCGTTGTTGTACCAGGCGGCGCTGCGGGTCAAGCCGATATGGCTGGACGACGTCTACATCACGGGGATCTGCGCGAGTAAGGTGGGGGTGACCTTGCTGAGGGATCCTAATTTTAAATTTACCCATGTCAAATCTACAAAATGAGAAGTGTCGGTTATTTATACATATATATATATTTATATATATATATATACTGTTCTCTATGTTTTTTTTATTTTTTTTTTTTTNTATATATATATATATATATATATATATATTTATTTATTTATTTATTTATTTATTTATTTAACGTGTTCAGATCATTCAAAATGTGTGTTACTATAATTACGCTACAATACGATTTAAGTTTAATTTAGGCCTGCACAACGTACGGCCCGCCAGCGCCAATTTTGTGGCCCTCGAAGTAACGAAATATTCTGTATTATGTTTATTTTCTGCATAGCTACCCCCCATCCCACCCCCCCCCCGAACCCACCAAAATTCTGTCCTATTTTCTTGTGGCCCGCATAAGTTTTTCATAAGGTATTATGTCACGCCTCACATTTTGAGTTGCGCAGACCTGGTTTAACTAATAGACTCAAGACGACAGACGACCTCACCAGAAAGGAATATTGGTTCAATTTTAGCAAAGATAATTCCTTTTAATCTGGTTTTAAAAAAAAGCTTACTTGTTTAATATATTTTTAAAAAAATTGATTTTGAGAAAATCATTCGGTTACCATTTTATGTTAAGCTTTTGTTATTTGTTTTTTGTTTTTGTTTTTGTTTTTGTTTTTTTTTTCCAATGCTTAAAAGTGCCTTACTTTGTTGATATGACGAAGTGGTCGATAATACAAGCATGACTAACCATAGACGACTTAACAAAAACAAAGACGCCTGAACACAAGAAAAATTAGCCACCGTGTGGGTTTACCACAGAGAGCGGACCACGTGGTTCCTTCCCGCAGTGAAACTTTGCAACAAGTATGCTTGACAGTTGTCTAGATCAGGGGTCGGCAACCTTTTGAGAGGGAAGAGCCAAAAGTTACAATTTACAAAATTTCTCAGTTTTTAAAGAGCCAATAACATTTTTATTTCAAAATAATTATTAATATTTGCGCTTTGAACTGGAGAGCAGCATCTTCACATCAAAAGAGCCGCATCTTGGCATCAAAAGAGCCGCATCTTGGCATCAAAAGAGCCGCATCTTGGCATCAAAAGAGCCGCATCTTGGGTAGTTTTCTCGGCGTAGAACCGTAGTTTTCTCGGCGTACTTGGCATCAAAAGAGCCGCATCTTGGCATCAAAAGAGCCGCATCTTGGCATCAAAAGAGCCGCATCTTGGCATCAAAAGAGCCGCATGCGGCTCGCGAGCCGCAGGTGGCCGACCCCTGGTCTAGATAGTTGGCTGTTGGACATTTTCTAGACATTTAGCTTGACAGTTGTCTAGACAGTTGTCTAGAAACTGTCTAGACAGTTGTCTTAACAGTTGGATTGACAGTGGTTTAGACAGTTGGCTTAATAATGTCTAGACATTTAGTTTGAAAGTTGTCACTAGATATTTGGCTTGATAGTTGACTTGACAGTTGTCTAGACAGTTGGCTTGACAGTTGTCTATACATTGGTCTTGACATTCGTCTATACATTTGGCTTGACAGTTGTCTAGACATTTGGTTTGACAGTTGTCTAGACAGTTGGCTGGCCAGTTGCGTTAACAGTTGTCTTGACAGTTGTTGGCATGACAGTTGCCTCTAGATCATGATATTACATTTTGTTCTCATTGTCGAAAAGAATGTAAATTTAGCTCAGCATCAGAGTAGAAATTTGGAGTAGTTCCCTTGAACTTCCCCTCTATGCTTACATTGTCACAAAGCTGGAGTCAAGTCACAAATTGAGGGTGCATTCATGATCTCAACAAACAAACATCTTGACCTGTTGCTATTTTACTTAAAATCTTTTTTAACACATTAAATGTCATTAATGTTGCGTAAAAAATGTCTTTGCAGTCTTTTTTTTTTTCCTTTTTTTTTCCATTTTCCATTTTACTCCACTCTGTCTTCACAAACAAATATTGAATATTTGTTTGTGAAGACAGAGTGAAGGAAAGAAGGAGAGAGTATGAAGGGCAGAGTGAGAGAGTATAAAGAACAGAGTGAGAGAGTGTGTGTGTAGTAAACGAACACACACACACACACAGAGTGTGAAGGACACAAAGAGAGAGTTGAAGAACACAGAGAGGGAGTATGAAAGCTACGGAGAGGGACAAAGACAGTGTGAATGACAAAGACAGAGTGAAGGGCACAGAGAGTAGATAGAAAAGAAAGCTGGAGAGTGATAACAAATAAATAAAATAACTCAGAGAGAGAGAGAGAGAGAGAGAGAGAGAGAGAGAGAGAGAGAGAAAAGTGGGAAAATAAAAGTAAAAAATGGAATTAGAAAATATATATTTAAACATGGAATATGTCAGTTAGAAAATTTAAAAGAAGAAGAAAAAAAAGTATGGGAAAGCGTGACAAGTAATGCTGCACCAAAAGAACGAATGTGTGTTCAAGAAGCCTTCTTCAGCAAACAAACAAACAATGAAAACAACATTGAATCCCATTCTAAACACCTAGCTGCAATGCAGTAGTGTCCGTGAAGTCAGCAAGGGGCAAGCGCCGTGACGGAGAGGAAAAAAGGGTCAGGTAGACGGAGAGGTGGCGATTGAGGCGAAGACAGAGAGCGAGTCGGACAGAAAGAAAAACAGACCAATGGAAACCAGATGACCGTGGAAGGGTTCACATGGGACGATTTCAATTTGGCGTCGCTCTTTAAAAGCCTCCGTCGATTTCAGGCAACGCAATGTTACAAAAAACTTCCTTTAAGTTTGGAATGGGCGCGAAACGCAAGTGCTTCACGGGAAGCCAACGAGTCGCTCGAGATCAGTGGTTCTCAACCTTCTTAATGCCGCGACCCTTTAAAACAATCCCTCATGTTGTGGCGAACCCCCCGCCCCCCCCCCCCCCCCCCCCCCCCCAAACCACAACATTGTTTTCGTTGCTTCTTTATAACTGGAGAGTATATGTTCTTTCCGATGGACTTTGACGACCCCTGGGTAAGAGTCGTGCTACCCCGAAAGGAGTCGCGACCCACAGGTTGAGAGCCGTTGCTATAGATATTGTGAAACATGCAAGCCTAGATTGGACGCGACGGGGGGCCTTTGTAACTGGCGATAAAATTTTTTTAATCAAACTTGATTTTAAGTGCAACTTTATGGCAATTTTTTTGGTAAAGATTGCTTCTGGGGGCCATAAAACTTTTATGTGGGCCGTTAGGTCTAAAACCAGTGCTTCACTTTTTTTTTTTTAAATAATATAAACCTTAAAAAATATATTTACTCATGGTTGTAGCATGTATTGATGGCGGCGGCACGATTTTATGACGAACCATTGCCAGGGTGTCTAAATTGTGTGACAACTTTATGACTATGGGAAGGGGGAATGGGGGCGGGATAAAGAAAGCGGCCGAAAATAGCGTGACTTCGTCTAAGGATTTACAACAGTTGACCATCGGGTCACTTTAACTTTGCAGTTTAGTTTTTGCTTTTCAAGATCAGATGCAGGCATATCAGCAGGCGTCGTTCGTTTCAAGTGTCCTGTCGCCGTGCCTGTTAATATTCTGGATGGTTCTTTTTTTTCTCTTTTTAGCAAGGTGAGGGGTGAGAAATTATAAAGAATGTTTTATTCAATTTATTTGCCGTCTGCAAGCATTGGCGTAGCTAGGGTTAGTGCCCCCCAGTTGCGAGCCAAGTTTTTTTGTTGAAACTCCAAACCCTTTCCACTTTTTTTTTTTCCGCACCCTGCATGGACAGTTTCTATGATTTTTTCGCCCCGACCTGCCACGCTGGACGAGGCCATGCAAGTGCACGTAGACCAGAGGTCGTTCTCAACATGTGGGTCGTGGCCCCTTTGGCGGTCGAACGACCCTTACACTTGGGTCGCCTAAAACTATAGCAAAAGACATGTTTATGATATAAGTAGGAACATAATTTTTTTGGCTGGAGGTCACCACAACATGGGGAACTGTGTTAAAGGGTAGCGGCGGTAGGTAGTTTGAGAGCCACTAACCTAGTCCAGACATATAATTGTCAAAAGTTACTTTTAAAAACTGAAAGAAAGGATCGGTACGTCGTTTGGGGTGATTTCTACAACAACAGCAACAACAACAACAGCAACAACAGCAACAACAACAACAGCAATACACCTTTTCTAAAGCTATTCAAATTTCAAAATTTAGGTCTTTGTAAAAGATCAATATTTTATTTACAAATCATTATTTAAAACGACTACCTGTTCGTTCTGAGAGATGTCCGCTGACGTCATCCAGTGGGTCGTGGGTTTATCCCAGTAACGCCATTGCAGGGTCCTCAGAGGTCCTCAATTTATTGGATGCTAAGGGCTTGTTTTGTAGAAGATAAGTTTTTTTCCACCAACAGGAAAAATTTGTATCTTTTTTTTCGCGCAGTCCATTGGGAAACCCGGATTTAGAACTATTCCATGGTGGTGGTGTTTAGAGGGTACCCATGGCGGGTTTTTAAGGGCTACCCATGGCGGGTGTTTAAGGGCTGCCCATGGCGGGTGTTTAAGGGCTACCTATGGCAGGTATTTAAGGGGTGACCATGTTGGGTATTTAAGGGGTAAACATGTTGGGTGTTTAAGGGCGGCCCATGGCGGGTGTTTAAGGGCTACCAAGGGCGTGTGTTTAAGGGGTAACCTAGTTGGGTGTTTAAGGGCTGCCTATTGCGGGTGTTTAAGGGCTACCCATGTTGGGTGTTTAAGGGCTACCCATGGCGGGTGTTTAAGGGCTACCAATGGCGGGTATTTAAGGGCTACCCATGGCGGGTGTTTAAGGACTACCCATGACGGGTGTTTAAGGGCTACCCATGATGGGTGTTTAAGGGCTACCTATGGTGGGTGTTTAAGGGCTTACCATGGCGGGTGTTTAAGGGCCACCCATGGTGGGTGTTAAAGGACTACCCTGGGTGGGTGTCGAAAGAGCTGTTCAGCCCATATTTCTGGCAGGCGCAACACGTTCTCCGCCATGTCTTGTTTTCTCTAACATGAACCGAACACTTCAATGAAGCATTCGTTTATTATTTCTAACTAACATGTCAATAAAGAATGATGTAACGATTGCCACAAATGTTG